AGTGAGATAACACAGATCCAGAAAAACAGTTATCATATGTACTCACTCATAAGTGGTTTTTAGACATAAAGCTAAGAAAACCAGCCTACAAATCACAATCCCAGAGAGACCCTAAGAGGGACTTTCATAGATCTAATCTACATGGGAAGTAGAAAAAGACAAGATATCCTGAGTAAATTGGGAGCATGGGGACCTTGGGAGAGGGCTGAAGAGGAGGAAAGAGGCAGGGAAGTGAGCAGAGAAAAATGTAAAGCTCAGCTTAATCAATAAAAAAAATGCTGCTGTTCAAGAGAACAAAATGGGGGAACTCTTAGGTAGCACAGGAGGACAAAAGCTGCCACCATCATGAGAACAGAATGCTGAGTACATGAGAGTCAGGCTACTGGACTTTTAAACTACTTGTTTACATTTGAAAATAAGTGAAGAGGTTTTACATTTTGTGTGTTTTTTACAGGAAAATTTTCACATACACCCCCCCCCACACACACACTTGTGTCCCAAACAGCTTTGGCCCAGAACCTCCTTAATTAGATCTAAAGCTCAAAGGGACTGCCAGAAAAATGTTGTTTTTTTTTTCCACAAATCAGAGCACATTCTGGACATAAGACAATCCTTAAGGGAGGTATCTACACTGGGATTAGACTTGTGTTCTGAGATTTATATTCAGCATCTCAGATTGATTGTTCCATTTATATAAGGATTCTACAAGTAGGTACTATGATTATTAAAATAATTTTCACTTGATTTTTTTATTTTGACACACTTGCTCCTTATGTATCCCTGACTTACCTAGAACTCATAATGTAGACAAAGTTGGCCTCAAATCCACAAATGAAGACCAACCTCTACTTCCTCCATGCTGAGCTTAAAGGCAGGTGCAACCATACCTTACTTCTATTTTATGGTAATTTTATAAATGAAGAAACAAAACCTAAGAGATTAGGCTATTTGTCCAAAAAAAGAAAACTGGTAATTATGGAGAACTTAAGTTAGACAATGATTCTGACACTTGATGTGGGAGTCCCCTCTGTGTGCTGTGATTACCATTAATGAATAAAGAAGCTTCTTTGGACATATAGCAAGGCAGAACGTAGGTAGGCAGGGAAAGCTAGGCTGTATGATGGAAGGAAGAACGGTGGAGTCAGGGGATGCCATGGAGCTGTTGCCAGAGTCAGACATGCTGAAACTTTGCTTTTAAGCCACTGCCACATGGAGATACACAGAATAATAGAGATGGGTTAAATTAAGATGTAAGAGTTAGCCAATAAGAAGTTAGAGCTAATGGGCCAAGCAGTGATTTAAATAATTTGGTTTTTGTGTGATTGTTTTTGGTCTAAGCTAGTCAGACAGCCAGATCAAACAAGCAACCCTTCCCCCAACAGCAACTGACATTTTTTTTCACAGAAATTTGTATAATTTATTATTCAAAACTTAAGCCCAACATACATATTATAATATAGAAAAATCTTATTTATACTTGAAACTTTCTATTCAGACTTTGTGGTGACTTTTAGAATATATGTAACAAATTTTATATTTCCTAAACTTCATATTTTATATTGAGATTTTTCTTATATTTAATTTTATGAACTTGAAATTCATTGCAAAGGAAAATAAAACACGTTTGCCTTTTTAGAACAAAAGGAAAATTAAGATGGTACAATTATGAGAAAAAATGTGCATTGCTCAACTCTCATCAGTAGATGACAATCAACACAGAGACTCACAATTGGTCAGCGTGTAAAGAATTAGTCTTGGGAGTGCTCAGTCCTAAATGGAATGTCTACATCATGTCCCTCCCTGCAAGGCTGAGGAATCTATTAAGAAGACAAAGTGGGAAACAGTGCTTTTCAGCTGTGACGGGACAGATGACATAATTACTTACAGGAGCTGTGACAGGACACATTAAGACTCGCAGAACCTTAAGCCAAACAAACTTTAAGCATGGAAGTGGGGAGGTGGGACATGAATTCCTATCCCTAGCTCAGGAGCTGCTGTTATTTGATATATGCTGACGGGGAGAGAGAAAAACATGGTGGGGAGAGAGTTGGGTTTCCTCAACGTTGTGACCCTTGGTATATATGCAACATAATCCAGGTAATGTCCCATGCCCAAAATAGTTGACCCACACAACAACAAAATAGTTGAACTTAATGAACTTAAGAGGGAAAGTTGGCAGCATAGTGGTGGGTGGGTAAGGGGAAGTCAGGGAAGAAGAAGAATACGATCAAATACATGTTAAGAAATTCTCCAAGAATTAATAAAAACATTATTTTTTTCAAAATCCATTTAAATGTTTCTATTTCTATGTGATTTTTAAATGCATTTAATTTGCTGTCTCATCAGTTCTGTACAACTTGTATTAAAACACAGGATCTTTGTTTTTCTCAGAGGAAAACCATGTTGATATAAATGAACTGGTTTACTGATTTTATTTAACTATCAGATTTTAATCTTTTATGTTATTTATATGTTCATATTTTTAACTTACAATTCAGTTAATTCTAAAATAAATCATTTATTTTTTCATTCTTCCGTTATAGAATTATATTTTTGAAATGTGCATAAGTTTATGTGCTGTTTTTCTAATAGCTGTTCAAATTCATGTACCTCAAATCTGAAGGTGTATTGTCAATTAACAATAAAAATTTCACTAGAACCTACATCTTTACATCTGTGCAAAAATAACTGAAAAACGGAGTGATAATTAGCTTTTCACCCAGCACTACTCTCTAGGGTTGATGTGACTGGCTCTAATCTATAGGGTTGTAGGATAATCTGGAAAAGCCTACTGAGGACAGACACAAACCAAGATGATGACAGTTCTATGTGTCTACTCAATGTGTCTTGAGATTAAATACACATGGAGACGTCTTTAATTCCAAGCTAAACATGTTGTGTTGGTTTGCTTTTGTTTTCTTGTAAAAATTCTCATAAACCTACATAATGTAAAGAATGTGTGAATCTGGGAAAGGAGATTGAATACACAGCATTCCCCAAGCATGTTTGCCAACGGAACATGCCTTTCCCAGCCTTTTAGAGTTATCCATTAACAGCTTCCCATGTTAATAGTCCATATTAATTTCATTTTACCAATTACCTTATAAAAACTTAGAGCTATGAGAGCAAGCCTGGCCATATTGTGTACTGCAGAATATTAATACACAGGATGTGGAAACTGAGAGGAAAGAAAAGACTAATGGGATGTTTAAACGTGAGGTAAAGCAGAAGGGTGGAGAATACAAGATTCTGCCACAAAGTTGAACCCTGTATGGTTGCTATGGTATAGATTTGTTTATCTTCCAGTCGCTCCTATTCTGGAAGCTCATTTACTGGTGCTGTAATTTGAGAGATGACATGAAATCTCCAAGAGGTGGGACATAATAATGGAAGGTTGTAAGGTCACATTTTAAAGTGATTTTGGTGAGAACCTGCTTAGTTCTCGAAAGAATGAGATGCTATGGAAGGAAGCATCTTATCTAGCCGTGGGGTTCATCTTGTATAGGCTCTTGTCTCAATCTGCTTTTTACTAATGATATTCACCAGATGCTGAACCAATGAGGCTGACCAACTGTGGACAAATAGTGTCCAAAACTGTGAGGTAAACAAATCTTTCTTCACAAAATAGACAGTTTCAGGTATTTTGTTATACAGCAGAAAAGAGACAATGCAGTTAGTACTAGGCAAGAATTGACAAAATAATGGATTTCAAATGCTTTACACAGGACAGAAAGGTATACTCAGTAACCACAGAGGTGGTTCTAGTGATAATGCATGCACCTAGCCATGCACCTTTGCTAGGTGATATCACATTCCTATGAATCAATACAATGATTTTCTTCAGTTGAAGATAACAAAGGTAGCATCTCTCATATCCATGATGTTGAATCAGAAGACAAAGGACTCAGCTAGTCTGCATTGATACTATATGTATGCAGTGTATGTCAATCAGACCCGCTCCCACTCTGGGCCTCTATTTCATGTTGAGCTCCTTCTTTCCAGCTAGTTTTCATTCTTCTTTTATACCTTTTTCAATTACCCGTTGCATTGAATTATTGTTATCAGCATGAGCATGGATGCAGGTTTATTTACAGGATGTTAATCAAGTTATCAGCAGCTATGCCACTGAAGAAAATGATTTCCCATCTCCCCGCAAAACATAAACTACCAAAAGCTCCTTAAAGATGAGCAGAACCTTCTGGGCTTCCCTTTTCATCCACAGTGGAATGCTAACAGGTATGATTTTGTTCAAGTCTTTGGCAAATAATAACAGTTTCATAGGTTCATGGCTGCAATAGTCGTGCCAAATTCAGAAGACAGCACCATGCAGTATTCCTCCCTGTCTTTCATATCTCCACACTTTCTGTCCCCTCTGGGATGTTCCCAAGCCTTAGAGGATGTGATATCAATGGTATGTTTAAGCCTGGACACTCAACAGTCATTGATTATTAGCACTTTGACATTTTATGAGACTCTGTATCAGACACTGCACACTACAAAAAGAAACTTCCCTGACCAGGAATGAGAGTAGCACTAAACTGTGGCTGTAAACATAAATAATTAAAAAGCATTTTGACAATAAATTCATTTAGAAAAAACAACTGTAGCAGACTTCTCCATATAGCCCGTGACCTTTTACACCATGGGCTTTTGACCAAGTTTATAGTAACAGGCACAAATTTCCTCCTACAAAGCAGCACTCAACCCTGGTGTCAGAAATTTTTTTATGTGTTGCTTTTATTGATTAATGAACAAAGTACCCAAAGCGTCGAGTAATCACACCCTAGGTCAAAACATCCTGTTAGCAGCCAAAACTTGATACAAACCTCCTGTCAATAACCTTGAGGAAGTAAGAAAAGGCTTGAACTCTCTGACCTTTGGTAAAGGTGGAACGAATTCACATCCATGAGTTTCCACAATATCCTGTGTTGAAAAACAGATGCTAAGCACTTTGAATAGTGAACAGATGAAGTGATATGTGTCTGATATCTTGGTACGAAATGGGTAAGTTAGAATCTAGCTTGATGGCTCAGTCAGAAAAGTGCTTATTCTTATGCAAACATGAGGAACTGAGTTTGGATCTCTAGTATTGGTGTGAGAGAATTGTCTGTATTCTGTCAATCATATTTTAATAAAACGCTGATTGGCCAGGCAGGCAGTATAGGCGGGAAAGCCAGACAGGAAGTAGGGGTGGAGCAAAGAGACTGGGAGTATTCTGGAAAGCAGGAAACTCCCTCCGCATTCCTGTGCAGACCACTGAAGAGGCAACAACATGTGAGCTGACAGCTGAAAGAGGTACCAAGCCATATGGCTAACATAGATAATGATAATGGATTAATATAAGTTACAAGGACTAATAAGAAGCCTGACCTAATGGGCCAATCAGCTTTATAACTTATAGAAATCTCTGTGTGATTGATTTTCTCTGGGACTTGCCGGTTGTGGGGTACCGGGCGGGACAGATACCCCAACAAGCCGGCCCTCGTGTTACATAGTATTCATTTAAGATGCCAGCCAGAACAGCACACATATACAATCCCAGCGCGTGGGAGACAGATACACACAGGTTCCTGGTGTTCACTGATGAGAGAGTTTGTTAAGAAAGTACAAAGTTCTAACGAAGATTAAGGATGCTTTGCTCATGTGTTATATTCTAGACAAAGAAGTAAGTGGAATGGCTTCAGATGGAAAAAATAATTAAAATCTTAAAGTCAGAGGAGTTTAGACATAAAGGTATAAGAATTTGGGAGCCAATTGGATTCTTTAACAGGGCACAGGATAAGCATCATTTGATAGAGATTATATTGACAGTAGAAAAGCAAAAAACAATTTTTCCATTAAAGTTGCTTCAAAGAATGTGGTTTAATTTAATTTAACATTTTATTTTTAAGGTAAATTCAGTTAAAACACTTCTTCTTTATTGATATAATTAATTTTAAGTAATACTTATTGTAATTGCAAAAATATCTAATTTAGAAGCATAAGTATCAAAAAGAGCAAAACCTATGTCAAATTATCCCAGAATAAAATGATTGCTGACATTCATCCCTTCCCATCCTTTCTTATGCATTTTGCATAATCAACCTTAAAGAATAAAAGATAATTTTACTACCTCAATACTTATTTCAAATATAAAGAGGTGTTTTCATGTTATTAAAAATTCTTAAGCAACATAATTTTAGCAGATTGTTAGTATTCATTTATATGAATCCATTATACTAACTTGAACCTTCCCTTTTCCTTGAGTATTCATGTGCTTTAGTGTTTCACTTGCATCTTATATGCAAGTTTTTATGATATTTACCATTATTTAGTTAAAACATTTCTATAAGGGGACGTCCAAGTCATAAAATGTAGGTATTTCAAATGTATTTTCCAAATTGTTTGCAAGCTATATGCTAATCATTTTTTCTCCCTTCAAGAGGTGTGAATATTTTGACAGAGGTTTCTGTCCCACCGAGTCCCATAGCTAATCAGTCCAAAGAAACTCACAGAGGCTTACATTAATTATAAATTGGTTGGCCAATTAGCTCAGGTTTCCTTATTAACTAACTCTTACATCATACATTAACTCATAATTCTTGTCTGTGTTAGCCATGTGGCTTGGTATCTTTTATCAGCGAGGTATTATCATCTTGCTTCCTCTGTGTCTGGGTGACAACTGCAGACTGAGCCTTTTCTCTTCCCAGGATTCCCCTATTCTGGTCACTCCTGCCTATACCTCCTGCCTGGCTACTGACCAATCAGCATTTTATTAAGCCAATACAACTGACAAATCTTTACATGGTACAAGAGCATTTTTCCACAGCATGAATATTTATTTCCTATTAAAATATAAGATATTTCTACCAGAAAGAAAAATATCAGACACCATGACACTAACTTTGAAATAAAGTCAGGTCACAGTAGCAATCACTTGTTCATCCATTAACTTATGACCTTCATTTAGAACTAGCAGTAATGCATGGTTGCTGGGCAACTTTGGGGAGACTGAGAGACAGTTCCAAATGGTGGTATGGTTCATATGGTGAGAAAGTCCCGAGATACAACAGTGTTTAAAACACATACAGTTCAGAAATATCTCTCCTAAAAATAAAGACATAAATTGGCCATTGTTTCAAATATAGAAACTATGGTAATAGAATTCATCAAATAATCTCTCATTTCTCTGGCTAGTTAATACTTCATTATAACACATCAGGTAATCACATGTACATAGGTAGATTTCTGGTTTGGACCCCATTTTAACAGTAATTTTCAGGTAAGCTTAATGTAAGCATAGTCAATAATGAAACAACTCCAACACAGAAGTTTGACTTTTTATTTGTTTGTTTTTGTTTTTTGAGACAGGGTTTCTCTGTGTAGCTTTTGGTACTTATTCTGGAACTAGCTCTTGTAGACCAGGCTGACCTTGAACTCACAGATATCTGCCTGTCTCTGCTTCCTGAATGCTAGGATTAAAGGTGTACACCACCACCACTCTGCTTGCCTTTTTAATATATTCAGCAGCAGTCATTCCATTGATATGCCTCTTACCATATGTAACAATATCTTCATGATCCATTTATTTAGGCATCTCTCATAATTAAAACTACACAGAACTCAAAACCTGTGTTCTTAAGTCAGCATTATCTCCATTTAATAAACAAAAAAATAAAATTTTATTTAACTAATGTTGTACATCAACAGACACACACAGCACACACACACACACACACACATACACACACACACACACACACACACACACACACAAGAAGTTCAACCAGCTATCATTATCCGATGTTGAGCATAAGTACACACGTACTTTTATAACGCACATTTCTCTAAGACAGCTTACATTCCTTTTCATTGAGAACGTAGCAGGATTATCCGTATGATTGCAGATCATGGAAAACATTACTTCACTTTCTACCAAGATGATATCATTTGAACATAAGAAAACTCTTCAATCCACAAGAAATTTACTTAGTATTTTTTGTGTAATTGTTTGACTGAGAGAAATGCCTTAGGCTTGGTATAGAAATTATTTGATGGTTCTAATTATAGAGGTTTATAATATTTTATTATTTTGTCTGTGGAAAAGAGAGTTCAATGCAGACGTTGAATAACACACATTCTATGGAGGTTTTGAGGGAGGCACATAGAAAAGCTACCATTAGTACAGGGAATCAAGATTCTTTTTTCCCCAAATTCCTTATAGAAAATCTACATGTTTGAGGCACTGTCTTAGGTGTCTCTCTACTCAGAATAGGTATTATTACCCTCAGTTTTAGTGACTGAAAAGATAAATAAATGGAGTATTGTTCATTTGTTTGAACTCAGTCTATGACTTTCTAGTCATGGCAAGACAAATAGGCAAATATTTTGATACCACTTGAAAATTCATTCTTCTCCACATCTTCTAAATATTACACGTGGATCCAATTTAAGCATCACTGTGGGAAGTGGTATTACTTGTACTACCTGGGGACTAAAAAAAACCCTGAATATTTCAAAGCAGCTACATAAAATTCCATCCTTTAATGAATTTTATTAATAAAAACAAACATTCCATGAATTAGCAACATCATTAAATTCATTGGAAATGGTGAATGTGGTCAAAATAACATGTCAAGCAAAACATTCTTAAAATTCCTGTCATTGTTCAGAGCATTTCCTAAAATGTCTTAATTATATGTGGTTTTAAAGTTATAAATATAAATATAAATGTTTATTTTGGAAATGTGTGCTGAATTAGTTCTTGATGGCTTGACTGCTTCTTTGCAAGTCATACCCCATTAGAATATCCTTTAGTTTGGCAGCCACTAGCAAAGTAGCCAAGAGCATCTTGTCCATAGGAAAGCATCAAGGTAATATGCTGAAGTTGCAGACATGATGTGTAACTAAGGGATACAGCAGCAAGCAGCATCCCCATCTTGCTGTGTCTATGTAACACCCTTCTCTGATCCCTAAAGTGAACCACGCTGCTTCTTGGGTCTTGAGAGCTTACGTGTAATGTTCATATGAAGATTTTTAAAGAAGGAAGTGGAAGAGAGAAAATCTTAAGACTTTACAGAGGCAGTTGTACAGAAAAGCAAAGACAATTTCAGAGAATAGACTTAGAGTCCTTGAAACTTAGTTATCTGACATCTAAGGCTCAAGACTAAGGTGTGATTCCTCAATGGTTCTTTTCAAAATGACTCATAAAAGATCATACTTTATGAAAACAAAAGGTTAGGTAATTCTACTAGGTCAAATATCTGTGCAGTTTTAAAAATATAATGAACAAAAATATTAATTGTATGTTTTACAATATTGTTGAAAAGATATGCATCTGTGCATTATAAGAAACCTACGTTGTTATTACGGTGTCAACAGTTGACAGAAGCACAAATTCTGACAATGAGTAATATCTATCAAAGGAACATTCAATGGAATTAGGAGTTATTTTATTTTTAAATATAATTTTAAAATATTAAAATACTAAAAAACTAAATAAAAATTTCAAACTATTATTTAAATATTTTTCCATGCACATATATTTAAATATTCAATTTTTTCCATTAGATATAGGTCTCACAAATGCTGAGTTTTTAAATTATTAGTCATTAGCTATCTTGGTTTATCCATAAAAATTATTTTAACTAAAATGATGATTTATGAATTTTACATATATAGATCTATTCATATTAATATTAATGTTATCTATAAAATGATTGTTTTTATTTTATACTTATTTATCAAGTGTTTGTGATCTCCTTCAGTCCACATTGCCTACAATGATGAGATTAAGAATGAATGGTTTGAGAGACAAATAGGTCATGAAGCCCTCAGGGATGGTATTAAAGTCCATGATGAATAATTTTGTGAATCATCTTGACTGGATTAAAGGATCGTTAGTTTGTGGATAAGACATGATTTCCAAAGAGTTTCTAGAAGAGTGGTATTTGAAGGAGTGGACTAAGTAAAAATCACTCTGATTATTCTGACCACTGAAGATTTAAGTGACACCTTCCATCCTT